AAGAAAAATAAAAAACGCAACATTGTTAACCTAAAATACAATGTCGGTGAACGGCGTCAAAATCATATTAAATAAAAAAGTCAATGCCGAAAAAAAAGTAAAAACAAAATAAAAAAACAACAACAACGTCGGTCAACGGTTAGCGGAAATGCTAGTAAAAATCGGGATCGTTTGTCAAAATTGATTAAATAATGAAATTGGGGTTAAATTAGGGTTGAATAAAATTTTAGGGGTTTTTAGAATATTTTAAAATAATGCAGGGGTCTTAGTGCAATTTTCTATGAAAAATCCCAAATTCAGCCCTAATTCAACAGTTGACCGTTACTTCTTGACGGTCAAACAGACGGAGGGACCAAATGTGTTAAAATGTGACAACATTAGTGTGTATTTTGTTGACGGCGGTAAACGAGGGACCAAAAGTGAAAAACGTGCAAACTTGGGGGACCAAAACTGTAATTATCCCGTATATATATCTATATTATTTAAATAAATAAACACTAATTGTGTGAGTTACTAAAGTTTACAATTTATGTTGAGAAAATAATCTATGATTTGTTATAATATTATGGACTTTAGCATTTAATTTATAGCATGACAAGTGTCCTAAATATGTGTCACAATTAGACAATAGAAGTTACCAAGTAATGACATGTATAATGGTGACTAAGGCATTCTCATGCCTATAAATACTTGTATTTTGTATTGAAATGAATAAGAGATGAATACAATTTTGCTAGCATCTTTCTCTCTCTCTACTCTCTCTCTCTCCTTACACACTATCTCTATCTTTCCCACTCACACATTTATATTATATTATATTGTGAATGATATTATATTATATTATATTAATTAGTATATATACATATATACATATCCGTATATAATAATATATATATATATACATATGTATATATTAGTTCCACATTAAAAACTAGTTAATATTGATTAATTAATAATATTCACACCATTAGTGTTTCTAATAAAATATTTAATACATTAGCTAATGGGAATTATTTCACAACACGTTATCAGCACGAGGTTCTGCACGAAAAAATGTAGGTTATGTAAGTTTGTTTATTTTACCTTATTTTATTTTATTTGATAAAATCCAGATCCTCGATATCTAATGGTGATGCGAATACTACGGTATTTTATACACCACCGATTTTCGGAGAAAAGGAAGGATATATATATATATCTATAATTATGTGCATGTTGATTTATGAGGAAAAAAAGGGGGTTATTATCTATATCGCCTCGGCTATAAATCAACTTGCATTACATGATTTTGATTTTGTAAATTTAGAAACTTGTATTGGCATGTGCAAGTTTCGATCTATTTAATAATCTTGTTTAAATTAGTAAAAGGAAATGTGCTGATTTAGATAATGAGAAATGAAAATGACTCCGTCGCATATGAATTCAAATTAAGGATCGATTTAAAGTCTATGATAATTACTCCGAACATAATGTTCGTAGAGATGGTGGACGTCATATAACTTCGGGTGTGATGCCCGTAGAGTCACTAAAAGTTGTGATTCCCCTCAAAGGCCAATGAGGTTATTAAAATAAAATTAATTGGAAACGATGGACATTTTTGTTAAGGGTCCAATGAAAGGCCGCCATAATAAAATTAAATATGGGTTTAGGCCTACAACGACGATGTGGAAGATAGTTCTCGTCAAGATGTTTTTAAATTGACTAGAGTGGATGTAGATATTTCCGCCGAGATAATCATCTGGTCAAAATAAATTAAAACTCCTGAGTTTATTGCCTACAAATATATTTTGGCCTATGAGTAAAGGTTATATATTTGAGATCATGCATGATAATATTCTTAATGATTACGATATAACTTTCTCGATGTAACGGTTTTCGAGATTGAATTTATTTATTTATGAACGTACCTCCCTCGGACGATATATACCGAGGTTGAGCCTATAATATTTTCTCGATATAAATATAAATGACGTCAAAATTTAAATACTTCTCTCGGATGATTTTATTCCCGAGATTGAGCTAATTTCTAAGATAAAATTTATATATCTATCTCGGAAGAAATATGCCCGAGATCGAGTTTATAATATCTCCCTCGGACGATACATTCCTGAGGTCGAGTTTAATTATATATTCCCCAAATAAAAATTTACGACTCTCTAGCTCGGACGATTTATTCCCGAGTTTAAGTTAGTAAAACTCTCTTGGAAGAAATATTCCCAAGGTCGAGCTTATACACCCCTGATGATATTGGTAATATTTCAAAGTTAATTCAATATGTCTACTAATTGCGTAATATGTACATATCTCTCTCGGATGTTAAATTCCCGGGATCAAGTTTGTAAAACTCCCTCGAACGAGAAATTCTCGAGGTTGAAATTGTATATCTCTTGGATGTTAAATTCCCAAGATCGAGTTAGCATTTTATTGACATATTATTTAATATGGATGTACATGTGAAACACAAACATAATAGACTATTGTCTATATATTGTAATTTCGAACTTTGAAATTGAGTTATATATCTTTCTCGGACTGATTCCCGAGATTAAAATAAGCTACATATCTTCCTCATGTGACATATTCACGAGGTCGAATTTTAGAAGTTCTCCTTCAGATGAAATATTCCTGAAGTAGAGTTTGCATATCTCCCCTGAAATATATATATTCCCGAGGTTGAGTTTAAATATCTCCCCGGACGATGTATTAGTCTAATTGACAATTTAATATATTCTAAATTTTATTGAGTGTGATATTGCGGAAAGCACGAAGTAAAACTAAATTACTTCCCGTAGAGATTATGGCTCCGGGAATAAACAATTGTTCTGCTTATGATATAAAAAGCCTTAGATCTTGTATTGTATTGTGTCCTAATTCGAGTTTTTCAATTACTACACCAACATGTCATATAAACTGGTTAATCCTGAAATATTCAGGTTTTGGCATGATAGTATGGGGACGCCCATAAAATATAATAATGTGTAGGAATACATAAGATACTAAAGGACATTCGTTAAACGGTGAAGGGATCCCAATGTCCGAAGAGTATTTATATAATTTATATTAAACAGAGTATATAACCTGTAGTGCAAAAGGGTTGATAATATTTATGGACCAATACAACCCTTCAAGTGGATCAATATTTTAAATATTTATGATTTTGTGAGACGCATCTTATAGATGGTCTCGCGTGTATTTATTATATACTGCAATATGACTTTGCACGTTTTTTTGCACAAGTTACTATACCCCGTGCATATGAGAATGGATAGTGCCGGAGAAACTCGATCAAAATAATTTTGATGAGATTTGTGCAGAGTACTTGGGATAAACATCAGTATCTTGTAACACACGCTCACACTCATATGGATTAATTGAATCCACTGAATAAACGGGTAATAATAAACATACTCCAGATAATTCTGTAAAGCTTAATCTCTCAAAAAATTCCAATTATAATTTTTCGGGATGATTATGCCAGTGAACCAGCTTAAAAAAAAAAAAATAGAATGTCGGCAGAGCCGAGTTTGTCCTAAATGCGAGAAAGCGGTTAAATCGGAATTGACTTTCCTAGAGAAACGAAATAAATATGGGCTAGTTATACAACTTCGAACAATATAAACTCCCTGTATATAAATGGGGTTTTGTTCGTAAGAGGAATAATGACAACAAAATTGTACGATATAATGTCGGCCTTATTACTCAAGGATTCTCCTGATGATATGAGGTTGATTATGATTAGATGTATTCACGCGTAATGAATACAATCATTTTTCGTTTCTTAGGGTTGTCCATGAGGAAATGGGCATACGTCTAACAGACATTCTAATGTCATCTTTATGGTTCACTGAATTTTGTTATACTCTCGTGGATTTAAAATGCGTAAAGCAAAGACGGAGCGATGATATGTTGCACTCTTTTTTCCCTTTTGTTCGGTCTTTTTCCCATGCGGTTTTTCCGACATAAGGTTTTAACGAGGCAACTTATAAATCTTTGAATAGCCTATTTCGGAGGCCTATATTATTTGTTTCAGGGAGAGCACATAATGCTATGATGTGTTGTACTCTTTTTCCCTTTTGACTGGTTTTTTGCCATAGAGTTTTCCAGCTCAAGGTTTTTAATGAGACAACCTACAAATTGATTGATAGCCCATATTGGGGGCTTATATTGCTCATTTAAGGGGGAGCAATAGTGCGCTGCACTCTTTTTCCCCTTACGACAGGTTTTCATCCCATTGGGTTTTCCAGCTAAGGTTTTTAACGAGGCAGTTTATGCACACAACTTGGATTTGAATCATGCACTCTTTTTTCCTTCTGATCGGTTTTTTCCCACTGGGTTTTCCGGCTTAAGGTTTTTAATGAGGCATCAATTCAGTCGATACAATAGTGCTACGTCCAAGGGGGAGTGTTATAATATTATGGACTTTAGCATTTAATTTATAGCATGACAAGTATCCTAAATATGTGTCACAATTAGACAATAGAAGTTACCAAGTAATGACATGTGTAATGGTGACTAAGGCATTCTCATGCCTATAAATACTTGTATTTTGTATTGAAATGAATAAGAGATGAATACAATTTTGCTAGCATCTTTCTCTCTCTCTACTCTCTCTCTCTCCTTACACACTATCTCTATCTTTCCCACTCACACATTTATATTATATTATATTGTGAATGATATTATATTATATTAATTAGTATATATACATATATACATATCCGTATATACTAATATATATATATACATATGTATATATTAGTTCCACATTAAAAACTAGTTAATATTGATTAATTAATAATATTCACACCATTAGTGTTTCTAATAAAATATTTAATACGTTAGCTAATGGGAATTATTTCACAACATGATTCAATTTATGCTCTAACAAAAATACTCATAATTAATAATGTAATGGGCACTCACTCCTTTGACTCAACTGGCCGGTAGTTCACCCATCTATTCAAGAATACAACTCTACATATATCATGGAAAGGACACAATTAAAGAAAGAAATGGTTACCATTTCACTTTCGTATTATTAATTTTCTTTTCTTTGTAACAAATTCATTTTACAATTGAGTGTCAAACCAATCGGCAAATACTTTCGACCTACGCCAACTGCCACCTTAATCACATGGCCAAAAATAAAACGAACTAACTAAAAAAAAAAAAGAAGCCCATGAAAAAGGACAAAATCTTTAGTGACACATTAGTATGTAAGAATTTAAGAGAGAGATGCATTAATAAAGAGGTTGGTGGTGGTGGTGGATATATATGTATCAAGAACGTGATATGATACGAGCATAGAGGAACTCGTTCCAAGTGTCGGGCAGTCCGGGCAGGCACCAGTGGATGCAATCGGCGAATGTGGCTGGATCAGCCTGCTGTTCCGGGCTAAGCATTTTGCCCTGTCGGATAGTGTGTACTGAGGTGTGTGCATCTTTGCGGTATTCTGAGAGTGTGGTTATGTTGAGGAAATAGACAGGCATTTTAATGGAGTGTGTGATATTTGCTGCAAGAACAAGTAGTCTTCGGTCTGTGCCCACATTTAGTGGCATTGATGTGTTCAGAATTGGGGCTGTCTCTTTTGCACATTTTATTCCTTCAGGGTTTTCCCAATCCAAGCTCCTTCACACATACATACATGCATCAAATTAACATTAATTATGTTATATTAGGTTAATATATAAATCATTATTTTGACACTTATCCCATCTCATTATGTGATGACGTGACACATTAATGATGGAAATGCATGGTTTCTTTATATGGTTGTGATTAAGAAAAATAATAATAATAACTAAAAGGGTAAATATCAACCCTGATGTAAGGCCTATTTACGAAAAAAAATCTTTTATTTTTTCATAATTACATCCATCCCCTTGCAATTTGTAAATTTCTTACATTAAACTATTAGGAGCCGGAAGTAATTTCTTTAATATGAGGGGTTTTTTTTCTTAATTACACTTTACCTCAGGTGGGTCGTTTATTAGGATAGGTAGATGAGATTTGTAACATTAAGTGAACGAATGGAGAAAATATATAACAATCTTGAAAAGAAAAGAAAAAAAAAATGTAATTTATAGGTTTAGAGCAAAGTGAAAAAGAAGTGGAGTTGGGGAGTTACTTGATGTGAAGAGGAGACATGCTCATGAAAAAGACTTTGGTCCGGTTCGGATTCACATGTTTGTCGACCCACCTTGCCCATGTCCTTAATACTCTCCCATACGCAACGGCCCTATCCACTTCATCGTACTCCGTCGCCCCTTTGTCGAATGATCCTCTCCTGTTTAATTCATTTATTCATTCATTCAAATCTACGTAACACATGCAACATGCATGCAGTTTTTGTGAACTATGATGATGATTTATTGATAGTACTATACTTACAAAACTTTCATGGAAAAAGTGTTCATCCACCAAATGTATGTATTGAAAATGAGGTAGTCAACATTCTTCCAATTCCTGCCGTGCTTTTTGATTGAACCGGGCATTATAATCCGGTCCAAGATGCTGTGCATTTTTGGATCATCTGAGTTTGACTCCACCAAGAACGGCGCCCAGTAGAACTCCACCGTCGCATTGTAATCCTGCTCAATCAATTCATTCATATTTCAGTACAACCTATATATATATGTTCAAATAAGTTTATATAAATTAATTATTTAATCATTATTATACTCTATACATATTATTATTATTATTCAAATAAGTTGGTGATGGTTGTTACACCACCCACTCGTGCCTTTTCTACTTCAAATATATATACATATAATATATATAGATGATAATTGATTAGGAAAATGTATTTGGTACGTACAACTTGTTATTTAAGCAACACGAAAAACATCACTTTCTGCAGTTGATATATATATATTATTATGTTTTAATTAAATAACCAGAAAGTGGAGTATAGTATATATAAGTAATCGACTATTTAATTTATATAAATTAAATAATAATTAAGTTGCCCACTTGCTAATTGTTTTTGTGACGACTTTTCCTTTTGTTGAATATATGCATGTTATTATTTATATATTGTTCCAATCATTATCACAAATAAAATAAAAATATCAAACAGTAATGTCAGACAGATAGACATTATTGATTATTCAACCATATAATAATAATAATAATAACAAAAAAATTAATAGTGCATGGACCCCTAATCATTATGAGAGAGAGAGAGAGAGAGAGAGAGAGAGAGAGAGAGAGAGAGAGAGAGAGAGAGGAGAAGGAGAGACCTGAATTCTGAAAACAGATAAAGAGCCATTTTTGGTCAAGGACTTGCTGCCAGGTGGCACTGCAGATTGAACCAAGCAGATCATGGATTCCCATTGATTCCGATTTAATGAGTCCCCGACAAACATCATCCTCTTGTTTCTCAGTTTCTCTAGCAATAACTTGGCTTTAAATCTAATTAAACAATATTTATTAATAATTAATTAACAGATGAAATAAATAATAATTAACGAAATTAAAGAAAAGGAACTTACTTAGGCAAAGAACAATGATTGGGCTGCCACCTCCAGTTCTGATACAAAGAATCTTGTCTTCCATTCTTCATGCAAGTCACCTGCGCAGTCAGAAATTCACACTGTTCTTCTCTGTAAATTGGATGACTCGAGTTATCGAAAACCCATTTCCCTGCAAACAAATCGCAATCTTCAGAGGGTATTTCAATCTCCTCATCATCGACAGCTTGTGTTTCCACCACTGTTCTTGCGTTCATAACAACAGAAACTGTGGTGGTGGTGGTGGTGGTTTCGCCGCCGCCGTTTCTTAATTCGTTTTCTTGAATTCGAGTATAATGATCTAGATCTTTAAACGGGAACTCGGCGATGGATTTGACGTCCTCGTTGTACATGAAGCATCCGAAGAGGAAGATGGAGAACACAACCACGAACGCGGAGAGGTTGCCTCCCTTTCTGGCGGCGGAGGCCGAGGGTTTCATGGTGAATGAGGCGGCGGATAAGAGCGCCGGAGAGAACTTGCGGCGGAGTGAGAGCTGCATCGAATACAATTGAAGGATTAGTAATAAGAAAGGAAAGAAGAAGAATATAATATGGGGAGCGAAGAAGAAGAAGAGAGAATTAATGAGAATGAGATCACTAAGAGACATTTTTTTATTCTTGTGTTTTAATCTATAATAATAGTATAAATTGGAGAAGAAGCTAAGTTTGTTTGTTTGTTTGTATGTATGTTTGTTAGTTGGTTGAATAATAATTAGTTTATTTGGAGGTGCTGGATTTGGTGAGATGGGGCTATCTAATTAGCTTGAAAAAGAAACACCAGAGATTAGGTTGATGAGATGGATCGGAGGAGGGAGGGTTGTCTTTCTCAGCTGCTCACTCCCGATCTATTTTCTAACTACTCATAACTGGCTATCCTCGTCAACTCTCCTGTGTGTGTGTGTATGTTTTATATATGTATCGAGTATGAACAAGGTTTGGAAGGGGTATTTTAGTCATTTCCAATAGATGCCAAGAGACTTGGAAAACCTCATGTTTCTTTTTCTAATAATTAAAAATTAGGGTAAATGGCAAATAGGCACACCGCACATGACAAGTGCATTTAATTAAAAGAGAGACATCCAACTTTTTTGTCTTTCAAATAAATTCATCTCATTCAAACTTGTTTGCAAATAAGGAAAATTCATTTATATATACCAAAATTACCCCCAATTCATTAAAACCTAATTCAACTCTAATTTCATGATTTACACCCCAATTTAGTCATATTTCATCAATTAACTAATTTTAACCCTAATTTCAATTTTGACCCCAATTTTGATCCGCCGCCACCGGAGACCGCCGGTCGCCGGCGTTGACTTTTTTTTTTTTTTTTTAACTTTTTTTCCCCAGAATATTTTTCCGGCCGGTCAACTGTCGTTAACCGCGGTCTCCGGCGTTAACTTTTTTTTTTTTTTTTAATAATTTTGTTTTTTCTTAAAAAAAATATTTTAATTAATATTACTGTCATGGCTGCTAAATTACTGTCTCCGACAAATATTTAACTGTCGGAGACCGTAATTTAATTGTAAATTGACTTTTTTTTTCTTCAAAAATATTTTAATTAATATTATTGTCTTTGCTACTAAATTACTGTCTCCAGCAGTTATTTAACTGTCGGAGACAGTAATTTAACTGTTAATTAATTTTATTTTAATATTTTAATTAATATTAATGTATTCGTTGCTAAATTACTGTCTCCAGCAGTTATTTAACTGTCGGAGACAGTAATTTAACTGTTAATTGACTTTTTTTATTCTTAAAAAAAATATTTTTAATTAATATTACTGTATTTGTTGCTAAATTACTGTCTCCAACAATTATTTAACTGTCCGAGACAGTAATTTAACTGTAAATTGACTTTTTATTTCTTAAAAAAAATTATTTTAATTAATATTACTACATTGGCTGCTAAATTACTGTATCCAACAGTAATTTAACTGTCTTAGACAATAATATTAATAATATTACTGTTTTGGAAAATAATATTCATAATATTACTGTCCCAAACAGTAATATTACTGTCTGAGACAGTAATTTAGTAGTCAAGATAGTAATATTAATTAAAAAAAAAAAAAGTCAACGCCGGAGACCGGCAGTCAACGGTGGTTGACCGGCCGGAAAAAATTTCAGAAAAAAAAAAAGTCAACGCCGGAATCTAGCCGGAAAAAAAAATATTTCGGAAAAAAATTTATTTTCTGAAAAACAAAATTTGGGGGTTAATGTGATATATTTGTTTAAATCTGGGGTCAATGTGTAATATTAAGGAAGTTAGAGCATAATGGGTGGAATTGATAAGAATTATATTATGGAGGGTATTTTAGACTAAATACATGGGGATGGGTTTAATTGGGAGACTGTTTTTTTTGTGGACCAAAATGCATTTAAGTCCCATGTGATGGGCCTTTTTGCCATTCGCCCTAAAAATTAAAGGTCCATTTGATATACACCCTTCATATGGAAAATATATAGGGATAAGTCCACCCCTTAAATCTTCCTTTGAGGTACCTCCCTGGAGAGGGAAAAGTACTATTGTGCCCTTAAATGCAATTTTCGCCCAACTGCACTCAGTAATTTTGCCAACTGCATTCAGCACTATAAGCCAACTGCATTTAGTATTTTTGGACCCTGCATTTATCATTTTTACAGATTTTTTAATAAAAATATAAATGTTTATTTTAATTATTTCTTTATATATATATATATATATATATATATATATATATATATATATATATATATATACATATATATATATATATCTTTTTTTTTTAATTTTTAATTTTTTTAATTTTATTTTTTTAATTTTTAATATTTTAATATTTTAATTTTGTTTTTTTAGTTTTTTAATTTTTAAATTTTTAAATTTTTTTCAATTTTTTATTATATATTTTTTTATTAATTGAAATTTTAATAAATTTACTATATTGAAAGTATACTACATATGACTATAGTATACAAGTTATATAGTCATGTATAGTTTTATGTAGTCATAAACTGTCTTTTTGCCCCAAAATTCATCTACAACAATAATAAAATTCATAATTTGAAACTTGATATTATAAATCAACTAACGAACAAATGAAAAAACACAATGATATTCATATATTCTTCGAACATAAACAAATATTATTGTACATTAAAAAACATTAGGCATACATATAACTATATGTGACTATAATTATCTACAATTATCTATACTTATATATGTATAGTGACATAAAGTCTGGAGTACTGTAGCATGAATGTAACTTCACATGACACTTCTCTGCATATTATTCTCTGCAAGTTATACAAATAGCAAAACCCGTGAGCAAAAAATACGAGTTAAAGAAAACGAAGAACAAATGTGAAACAAGCGAATTACATTACATAATTTTTTTTTAAAATACAAAAACAATGAAAAGCATTTCTTTTGACATATTTACTTTAGTGAACTATAACCCCATATGGTCAACTATAGTCACATGTAGTTATGTTCCTTCTTGTTACTACATGTGACTATATATGACTGCATGTGACTATATAGTTGTTAGAGTAGGTGACCAACAAGCCAACTTGTGGCTGTGGTCTTTCGTATTTATTATTGTAATAAACGAACCTTTATTCGTATTAATGATAAAACACCTTGGCATTCTATATCTTTGTCCATTTGTCACAAGCATAGATATAGTCCTTACAGTTATTACAAGTACTAGTAATTGATCGTTAGGATCGTGAGATATTTACTCAAGAATTATAACTGTTAAACGTGTTCCTAGTCGAAGGGTTACGCCACTAATGAGGATATCGGCCTTTCCCATTAAGACTAGCACTTAGTGTATGTGTACTGCATCTCATTAGTAAACGGTATTGTGATATCGGCATGCATAAGTGGGTGCTCGTAAGTTGACGAGTTCACTGAACTCCCTCACCCTAGAAATCTCTAAGTGGTTCCCAATAATCGAGTAGAGATATCTATGGTATAGTTGTACACCATTAGTCCTTATGACCTAGACATCACCGTGACTTCACTAGAGGACCAGCTGTATCGTGACCTGTCCCTGAGTTCCACCGAGGACCATCCCAAGGGCCAGTGTTCGTGCAGTCCGAAATCTAGTGGGAGGTCTGTGCATTGTAGTCGGGGATTCGATCGCTAGAATAGTCTTGGATGTCCTGTGTGTTCTGAAAGTTTGTAATCATTCTAAGTCTCTGGCCAGAGCAGACTAAGTGATGATTAGAGAATTCGATTCTCTAAGTCATGCACGTAAGGATTACAACACTTAGAACGATCGCACCGTCATCGAACATATAAAGAGGTCTCGATGAACCAATGCCTCTAGTTCGATCGGGACATATGAATCGAAGGGACCGTACTGTACGTTAACTATATCTGAAGGTTCTTGCAGGCACTTCATTTGTATCTAGGGAATCATGACGCGTAGTTGCTAGACGCCAATCTTGATTTGTTGGGTGATTAAGGTGAAACGAGCTTCATCTTAATCGTAACTGTAAGGGACGAGTTTTGACCACAAAGGGTTGTGGACCCACGGCTAGCTTACACCTGAACCATCGAGGGTCACACTGCTCGTGCACATGAGATCTTTGAATAAACGGTCAGAGATAAAATAGTTTATCTTTGCATGATTGGAAGTCAATATGATTGGATCCAACATTCGTAATTTGGAATTATGAATGAGAATAAGAAAAGGAAAAGAATAGGCGAACGTGTTAGTGAACTTTCTAAATCGGGAAGTCTCCAAATTTAGAAAGTGCACTGAACTAGGGTTTCCACTTTTGGAAAGTTGGAAAATGAAAGATGCCACTCGTAATGACGAGGATATTATAATGATTCCGAAAATGTAATTTTTGCAATTTTCCGATCATTGAATTAAGAGAGACGAGCAATTAAAGGAACTAACGAACTTAAGCTGATGGGCCCGGTCCAACTTAAGCCCGCTAGGGTTTTATGCAAGACACTATAAATACAAGATTTGTAGGTCTTGCACAAAAAGTGAAACCCTAACCCTAGCAGCCGTCCACCTCTCTCTCTCGGCCTCTCTCACCCGCGGCCATCACCGGCGTCGTAGCCGGAATTTCACCAGAATCGGCCGTTCATCGGCCGATTGCTTCGGTAGTTTCTTTCCTTCTCTTTTTTCTTCCGTTTTTCTAACTATTACGTGTCTAGTGCCACGTGTTTAGAAGATCGAAGTATACGAGGTGAAATCCGAGAGGAGGAAGATCGAAGATCGAGGAATCGAGGAGCAGCGCACGAGCCGAAGCCGCACGCTACCCCACGCGCCGCCCCGGAAGACCGCGCGTGAAATCCACGCGCCGCCGTGGCCGTTTCACCGCTGCTGCCGCTGCACCGCTGCTGTCCCGATTGTACGGATTGGTTTCCGTGGCAATCTCGACTTGCTAAGCGCTCCTACCTCACGCTTCATCTATATGCAAATAATCTATATGCAAATAATAACAATAAAAATTCTAATATTTTAAATTGCAATTTACCGTTTTCTATTTCATTTGCTAATTTATTTGGCATTTATTTATTATTATTTTTTTCTGCTTGCGGAATGATATTCAATTGAATAATTTGAAAAAATTATAAATTTTCTTACAGATAAAAATTAAAAGGGATATAAGGGAGGAGAGAAAGAAGACAGGAGGAAAGAAAGGAGAAATAGAGAGGGGACGTGAGAAGAGTGGGAGGGAGAGAGAGAAGAGAGAAGGAATGAAGAGTAAATGAATAGGAGAGAGACGCACGTGAGTGTGGGTGAGACAAAAGAGTGATTAGTGGGATTTGTTAACCACATTAATATAAAATTATATATTAATTGAGGGTGTTTTTGTCCATACACAAATAATTAAATTTAATTTACATTATTTTTTTATGAAGGGACCTACACCTATATTTATCTAACATATTGGATCTCCCCCTATATAAGTTCAAAATAAGGGGTGTCTAGCCAATTTCCCCTATTATTATTATTATTATTATTATTATTATTATTATTATTATTATTATTATTATTATTATTATTATTATTATTATTATTATTATTATTATTATTATTATTATTATTATTATTATTATTATTATTATTATTATTATTATTATTATTATTATTATTATTATTATTATTATTATTATTATTATTATTATTATTATAAAATATTATAATAATAATATAAAAATAACTTAAAAAAATTAAAAATATATATAACTACAGTTTATTATTTATTTTATATTTTTTTTTTCATTATACTATAAATATTTTTTAATAAAAAACTAATAATAAAAAAAAAAAAAAAAAATAAATAAATAAAAACAACATATTGAGCTCGAGCTCGAGCCCAAAAAAAATAACTCGATGAGCCTGCCAAAACAGCCGAGCTCGGCTCGTTCACACCCCTAAACCAAACACAATTGGGATTTCAAAGGTCTTTGAATTCCTTTTCCTTTGCATTTTCATTTTTCTTATTTTGAAATCCATGAACCAATCAGAGCCTTAATGTAAACATCGGGGGCTCAAGGATTGCCTTTGTTGCCTTCCCCTCAATACCGAGTCTGATATTAGTACTTTAGTTCAACGTAGGGTTGAAAATCGGATAAAATGGGTCGGAAATGACCTTTTCGAAAAAAATTCAATTTTTTTTGGAAGTGAGAAAATTGGTTCCAATTTTCATTCCAAATAAATCGGAATGCAAAACTTCATTCCAATTTCGAAATGCCTCGAAATCGGTGGAATTTCAGAAATTTCCAAAATTACTTTAGTTTTATAATTTCTTGTTCCCAAATTCAGATATAATGCAAATTTTAACAATTTTTTTCTTTCTTTTTTATTTTTTTGCGAAAAATGCAAGAACATCCAAAAGAGAACTTGACAAAACACAATATCAATTAATCTTTTCTAAGATTTTAAATTACTTGATCCTTCATATTTATATTTTTCATATAAAATAACACATAGGTTATATTATGGAATTATAAAATATATCATAAAGTTATATTATATATTTCGAAAAATCATAGTAA